AATTGGGCAGATTTGGGCAAGAATGGGCAGAGCGAAAGGGATTTGGGGAAATTCGAGGGGGATTTGGGCAAAATTGGCCACTATTAAGGGGATTTGGGGAAATTCGAGGGGGATTTGGCCAAGAATTGGGCAGAATTGGGCAGAATTAAGGGGCTTTGGGGAAATTTGATGGGGATTTTCACAAGAATTGGGCAGAATTCAGGGGATTTGGGGAAATTCGAGGGGAATTTGGGCAAAATTGGGCAGAATTCAGGGGATTTGGGGAATTTTGAAGCGGATTTGGGGAGAATTGGGCAGATTTGGGCAAAAATGGGTAGAGCGAAAGGGATTTGGGGAAATTCGAGGGGGATTTGGGCAAAATTGGCCACTATTAAGGGGATTTGGGGAAATTCGAGGGGGATTTGGCCAAGAATTGGGCAGAATTGGGCAGAATTAAGGGGCTTTGGGGAAATTTGATGGGGATTTTCACAAGAATTGGGCAGAATTCAGGGGATTTGGGGAAATTCGAGGGGAATTTGGGCAAAATTGGGCAGAATTTAAGGGATTTGGGGAATTTTGAAGTGGATTTGGGGAGAATTGGGCAGATTTGGGCAAAAATGGGTAGAGTTAAAGGGATTTGTGGAAATTTGAGGAGAATTTGGGCAAAATTGGGCACTATTAAGGGGATTTGGGGAAATTCGAGGGGGATTTGGGCAAAACTGGGCAGAATTAAAGGGATTTGTGGAAATTCAAGGGAGGTTTGGGCAAGAATTGGACAGAATTAAGGGGATTTGGGGAAATTTGAGGGAAAATTGGGCAGATTTGGGCAAGAATGGGCAGAGTGAAAGGGATTTGGGGAAATTCAAAGGGGATTTGGGCAAGAATTGGGCAGAATTAAGGGGATTTGGGGAAATTTGAGGGGGATTCGGGCAAAATTGGACACAATTAATGGGATCTGGGGAATTTTGAAGCGGATTTGGGGATAATTGGGCAGTTTGGGGCAAGAATGGGCAGAGTGAAAGGGATTTGGGGGAAATTCGAAGGGGATTTGGGCAAGAATTGGGCAGAATTAAGGGGATTTGTGGAAATTTGAGGGGGATTTGGCCAAGAATTGGGCAGAATTGGGCAGAATTAAGGGGCTTTGGGGAAATTTGATGGGGATTTTCACAAGAATTGGGCAGAATTCAGGGGATTTGGGGAAATTCGAGGGGAATTTGGGCAAAATTGGGCAGAATTCAGGGGATTTGGGGAATTTTGAAGCGGATTTGGGGAGAATTGGGCAGATTTGGGCAAAAATGGGTAGAGTTAAAGGGATTTGGGGAAATTCGAGGGGGATTTGGGCAAAATTGGCCACTATTAAGGGGATTTGGGGAAATTTGAGGGGGATTTGGGTAAAATTGGGCAGAGTTAAGGGGATTTGGGGAAATTCAAGGGGGATTTGGAGAGAAATGTGCAGATTTGGGCAAAAATGGGTAGAGTTAAAGGGATTTGGGGAAAATTCGAAGGGGTTTTGGGCAAAAGCGGGCACAATTAAGGGGATTTGGGGAATTTTGAAGTGGATTTGGGGAGAATTGGGCAGATTTGGGCAAGAATGGGCAGAGTGAAAGGGATTTGGGGAAAATTCGAAGGGGTTTTGGGCAAAAATGGCCAAAATTAAGGGGATTTGGGGAGAACTGGGCACATTTGGGCAAAAATGGGCAGAGTTAAAAGGAATTTGGGGCCGTTTGAGGGGATTTGGGCCGCAGCACGGGGATAGGTCGGCTGTGGGTGGGTGGGGCTTGTACGGGCGTGTCCGAGGGGGCGTGTCCGTGTGAGGGGGCGTGTCCATGGTCGTCCCCGCCTTCCCCCCCCCCCCCCCCGGGGGCCTCCCCCCCGGCCCGCGACCCGCGGGCCCCGGGGGGGGGCCCGTGGGGG